ACTGATCAGAGCTTCTCCAGTCTACTGTATTCCTTGCTAGAGTAGCTGTCACCCCCTCACCTGCAAATAGCGGCACCATTAGATGAACTCTGAGGAGCTCTGACCCAAGTCTGAGAGCAGCGTTAAGTATGTGTTGTATTGGGAGTTTTTGCCTGGGTAGTTAAATGTAGATCGGTGATCCTTTTCAGCGTTACTGTTAACAGGATATTATATGGGAATCGGCATGCATCAGAAATTATTATTAGTACTTATTTTCAGATTCCCAGAAAAAAGATGGACAGGGGTTCTGTGATCCATGTCTTCTTCAAGTTAGTTATTTTGTCCTTGTGTACTTGCTACCTCATATTCTGTTGTTTAGATAACAGTCTGGGTATTAAACGTGGCTGTAATTTCTCCTGTTAATGGTATTCTACTTCCCATGGATCTTGCTCAGTTCCAGCTAATCCTGTCTTGATGAGGCAAGAAGGAGCTGGACTGAGCTGAGGACCAAGTCAGTTCCGAGTGTGGCTTTGGAGACGACCAAATTATAATAATTCCTTGTGTCATCTCATCGCTAGGTTGTACAACTCTGTTCCAAAAAGGTATTGTTCAGCATTGCTCCTCAAGGTTTTAATCTATGTTTCCTCTCCTTTTCTCTTTGACAGGGAGGTAAAAATGACTCTGTGCATGATTTACTGTAAGTCTCTTGGTTGCGATGCAATATTGTTTTGCCAAATTGGAGCTGTATGAGTCCTTTATTGAAAAACAAAACAAAATTACTGAGTAAGTCTCATTACTTCTGACAAAAAGAGACTCAGGGCTACTCCCCAACTTGTTTCACTCATCAGGGATCCTCCAGGCTGATGTGAGCACATTTATGAATTCTTTCTTGTGAAATAAAAAAACCCTATTAAATGCTATTCTATTAAATTTCAGAATAATACATAAGCAGTAGTGGTCTTGGCCACAGCTGCCCATTTTAGAGACCATGTAGGTTGTGTTGGGAGGTGGGAAGTTCATCTTGTCACATGCTGGGGAGGACCTGCAGGGTGTCTTGGCACCATCCAGGCCATCCCTGGGAGGCTACAGTCAGACCCGTTCCTAGTCCCTGGAGTACCTGAGCTGGGGGCAGCAGCAGGGAGCAGGCTCTGGGAAGGGGGGAATTGCCCAGGCAGGACAGACGTGCTCCAGCTGTGGAGTACTCCTGCTTAAACCACTGATTGCGTCCCATGTAATTGATCCACAGTGTATGATTAATAGACACACACTCTAGAATACTACCTCATCCTTTACCCCTCACCACTTACAATAGCCCAGAATTGCAGGAAACTGCAGTGTGGTTTGGGTTTGTCTATTAGAAGCAAAAAGGCTGTTTGACTGACTCTTCAGATAAACTGGAAAAACCGCCAATGAACAATGATGAAAAGTTGCTTTTACGTAGAAATAAAATATGAGGCAAACAGGCCCGTTCAACTATAACACTGTGCTGTAAGGAGTGTAAAGTGGACTGAAGCAAATATTCAGAGCAGTGTCTAGGGGAAAGCTACTGCGTCTGATACAGATACACATACATGAAATCAACAGTGCTTCATTTAAGAACCAAGTCTGCTTTTTTTTAATGATGCAGTGAGTTTTTCACTGTAAAAGAAAACCACCACCCCTGCCCGAGATAATATATTTACATATGTACAGTCAGAACAGACAACTAAAATAGGAAATGTTTAACTGCCACAAAGAAGTATATAATGAGAAGTTCTTAATTAATGTCTGATTATCTTGAAGCAATAATGAATCTCTTGTTCATTTTTTTGTTTATTGGAATACAAGTGATAGATTTTGAAGATGATTAAGAGAAAGATGGTGCTTCTCTGATTCTTAAGGAAATTTTCTTTTCTGCTCGGGTAATGTGGGTGCTGATTGAAGTACACTGTCATTCCCACTAGAGGGGGGTCCGCTCAGCCTAGGTTGTAATGCTTTTTTTTTTTTTTTTGAAACTTAGCATGAAGAAAACCTCACTGTTGTGTCCCACATCTTGTTTCAGTGCTTGGTATTGTGTATCGTATGGTATCAGCAGTTAGTTGTATCTTACTGATCTTAACCCCCTTTTATACAAAGAGGTGAAGACCAAAATGAATGGACTAACGCACTAGCACACTGGTGAACACAGCAGTAACAAAGAATACAGAGGATGTTTTATTGCAGCATCTGCAAGGTGAGGACAAGTATTTATCACAGAAGTAGTGTGGTCACTCTTAGAAATACAGAAGTGGCGTTATCAGACCTGTTCAATAATGTTTTTAAATTAGTATTATTACTTACACCAATAGCTGCGCTCCGAACCATTTTATTGTCTCTGCGAGACTTGTGTTTCTAAGCATAAAAGAAAATATTACCATATGTAAAAGAGACTGGATATATTAGATCAGCTTAAACTTCTGCTTTACTCTTTGATACCAGTTTGTTCCTCTTCTCAGTTTCTTGGTTGAAAAGAAAGAGGATTGACTTTAGAAATGTGCTTCTTGTTGTGCTGTGTTAATTCATGTGTTTTGAAATGGTGGCAGTCGCGAGCATTCTCTTGGCCCTGAGTGAGCGGGAGCTTAATTAGCACAGCCGGCTTGTTGACAGCAGCACTGTACTGTACAGCAAAGGTCCCCACATGGCGAGGTGGCCTTTCTGCAGATGAGGTGGAGTGTGGAGCCCAAAGGCCGCTCTGCCCGATGGGTGCTGGGTCAGTGCAGGGGTTCAGTGCCCTCGGTGGTGTGCTCCTGCAGCTGGGAGCACTGAGGCAGAGGGCAGGCAGCTCTGGGCAGGCTCGCTGGGGCCGCTAGCCCAGCTGGGACCACTGGGGAAGGAGAGGAGAAGGAGGAGGAAGGGACAGCAGGGCAAGGGAGGCAGAGTGGGCCGGGGCTGGCAGGGAGTCAGCAGCCCTGCTGGATTCGAGGAGGGAGTCAGAGAGGTACCCATTGACACAGAGAAGGCTCCAGTTTTCCTAATGAACCTCCACAACAGAAATAAAGCAGAGTAATAAGCATGAGTGGGCCCAGAGGTAGCACCTAGGGTATGCGACTGGCACAACACTGGATAGAGAAAACTGAGTGAGTTTTGAAGAAGACTGTTCAAGTTTCAGGGTCTGTCTAGTTACAGTAGCTGGATGGTGTACTAAAGCAGTAAGCCTAATGAAAATGAGAATTCACAGTTTCGATGGGTACCACATTAACCCTAACCAGACCGATTCTGATATTGGAATGACTTTTTTCAGAAGCTGCTTGAGTAGGGCACTGTATTGTGACAAGCAGTCATACTGTTACTTCCAATCCAGTGGCTGATTATTCTCTTTTTGGCCCTGGGCAAGTCACTTAACCCTCTGTCTGTTTCTTCATCTGTAAAATATATTATGGATATTTATCAGTCTCACCAGGACTGATTGTTTAATATTTATAAAGTGCCTAAAGGATTAGAAGCTTAATATAAGTAGCTAATACGTATCATTTTAGATTGATTTTATTTACTTGGGTGTTTTTTTTTCCTATTTCCTATTGAACGAGATGCTATTTTGTAGCCTCTTACTGCTGTTCCTAGTCAGCTGGACAGGTCACAATTGGGTAACTTCAGGTTCATTTTCTTCTTTTATTCCTACCTCCTATAAATGCTTTATCGCCTTCCCCCTTTTTTTTCCCCTTCCTTTTTTAATTTAGAGATGAAGAGATACCATATGTTGCTAGATCATGACATAAATATATTTAAGTGCTGCCATCATTGTTAGTTTATCAGCCTTTCCATTATAAACCCTCTTGTTCAGGGGTTTATAACTCTGGCATTATAACGTGCTTCAGGCTGAAACTTGACATTCATTTTTTCCCCTCTTGATTTGCTTTAAATCCTTCACTCTTCTTAAGTTAAACTGGAGATTAGATATATTAGTTATAGTTATACTAGTTGTATAAATTATAATGCAGTGGTAGGCATTTTAAATAGGATGTAAATCAGAAAAATAGAGAATTTCCTTGTTAAACTGTGAGCCTGGGAGTAGAAATCTGGGATTCTTTTCCTGAGTGTGTCCCTGGCTTGGCACATGACTACTAAGAAGTTATTTAACCTCTTTCTGCCTCACTCTTCTGTCTGTATATTGGGATGATGACATTTCCTACTTCACTGGTGTATTGGGAAGCTTAATTAATTAGAATTCATAAAAGCACCGAGATTCTCAGGTGAAAGGTGCTGAAGTGTGAAGTATTTTTAAGGAGTCTAATGAAAAATCAGTCCACCTGCTTTTTTGCATCTGTTGCCTGTTGTCCCAGATTAGAGCGCATCAACTCCTAGAGCTGTGCAGTACATGGCAACCAGCAAGGAGTTTGATTTGGAGCGCTATTAGATGACCTAGCAGCTTGCTTTCCTTAAGCTTTCAAACATTCACTGGATCTTGCAGGCAGCTAGCCTCGGCCTTTGCTTGGGGAGTTTGTGTTCCCTGAATTCTGTGGTTTTCAAAGAATTCGCTGTGCTCAAGACAGGACAGGAGCCTGCAAGCCAGACCTCTGCTGCAGTGTTTCGCGTTAGTGCTGTTCTGCTTGGTGCTAGTGCAGGAGTACGCAGCCTGGTTAGAAGATAATGAGAAGGGAAGAGTTTGGGTATTTCCAGACTTCTTTTACAGGGAGTTGTTGTGGAAGATGATTCTGGTTGTGCTCAGGCAGCTTTTTGGTGTAGCCAGAACTCCATATGAAGAACAATGTTCCAGCTGTAGTACAGTAGATTTTGGAACACTGACAGATACTCTTTATGTTGTTTAGGTTGAGAAACCTTTTTTTGTGTCATGAGCGATGCTTTCTGAGTTTCCTCTCTTGAGGATTTCTGTTGTCAGCTGTTAGTTCACCACGTCCTGTCATATATCGGTTTCCTAGGGTTGAGCCAGACTGATGGCTTCATTTACAGATCTCTTCTTTGCCTGGACTGTGGTGCTGTGCTCAGGAGAGAGAGGTTCTTGGTGGTGGCTAAATTTGAAACGATCTTTCTCCTTATAATTTCAGGTTGAAGTCTTGGCCTCCGAGGATGCTACATTTGGACACAAGGTGTGTAGTTTGATGCAGTTTTGTTATATAGGTCCCATCAATTTAAATTGTTGGATGTGATGTCATAGAAGATGACAATTTTCAACCTGAGAATTAAGAATCCTGTGACTTACATCCATCAATTCAGAAACTTTCCCTTATGTGTGATAATCTGAGAATGTCACACAGGCTGTCATAATCCTGTTACTTGGTATAAAACCTGTGAGCAAATTTCATTTGTGGAATCCCATGTGGAAACATGGAACATCAGCTTTGTAGTAACTTCTGAGATTGGACTTGCCCAAATGCTGGATTTGTTCTTGTTCCATAGATTTGCAGCTCAAAAATTGTAGTTGTAATCTGCTTTGCAGTCTGCTGAGCAAGCCACTTTGTTCATGGTCCTTCTTCACGGTGCATCTCAAGTAGAAAGTAGTACATTGAACAGCTGCATCACCCTGTGTTCAATTGTAGATCAATGTATGACATGCGGTATGTGTGTTGGAGAGACCTCTTTAGACCTTTTCTGCTAAATGGTTGGGCTGTATCCTAGTTATTGCTCAAGTTTCTTTGGCTGGTGAGCATTATGGTGATGGCCGCGGTTTTAATTGAGCACTAATAGCAGATGATTTTAAGCAGGGCAGATTGTGTGTAGGCTATATCTAGTTAGCTAGGAAGAGTGGATAGGGAGGGGAAGAAGGAGATTGTAGGAAGAGTAGGCTAAATCATGACAACGAAGAGTTTCCTGCTGCTGAAGGCCCACGTGCTGTGACACTGCTGCAGGTGAGAAAATAGCAATGCTATTACTATCAAGGTAAAAAAAGATCAAGAAAAGACAAAGTAAGTTCTCCAGGTTTATATAGAATACAATAAACAAAATTAACCAAGAGAAAAAAAAAAAGGCTTTAAAAGGACCTAAATATTAATGATGCCAGAATTTACATTGTGTCCGTATTGTACATTTTTATGTTGATGTGTGATAAAGTGATTTAAATAAATTATTTAAAAAAAGAGCTAGTCCAGTATTATTTAAAGTATTTAACATATGGTAGTCTGCAGTATTTTCTGTTTTTTATTTAATATCCAGCATGCATACAGAATATTCATTGAATATTTAATAAACCTGGAGGGTCAGCTCTTGTGAACTCATCTCCATAATCCTTCAGACTAAGTGGGTAAACAGAAATACTGCTGAAGATTATTGTAGCCAATTGCTCTCACAACTAAAACACTGTGGAGGAAGCTTCTTGTTTTCTTCATGGCAAGAGTTGCAAGGTGGTTTTCAGTCTTGGAGTCATCTTGATGGACATCCTTTGAAACTCCTTTTTATTACCAAAAGTTTTTAAAATTTTCCATTACTAAGGTTGAGTTTTACAAAACCAAATCAGTACTGTCGACGGCTCTTAACATCATCCTCTGGATTCCCAAGCAACTTTTCTGTAAGATTCAGCTTCAGAACCAACAGTCTTACTACTCTCTTAAAATAGTAGCTTTACATTACAGAGTGAACTATATATGTCTAGAAATGTCAAGTACTTTTTATCAATCAAGAAGAAAAGTAAACGTATCATCCCAAATTTGTTAATCCCAGAATTTATTTTAGCTGTCTATTTAGGCATGCTGTGAAAGTGCTTTCTTTCCTCCTCTCCCTTAAGAAATGCTTCCTTTACTGTCTGTCTCAATGACAAATAAATGTTCATGTCTCTGTTACATTAACAAATGAGTTGGTATGCCCATGGAGAATATGTATAAGCGTAGTTTTTTAAATGAAAAGTAATTTCAATTTTATAAATTAGAAAATAAGTTGGTATGGTGAATACCAGATAACATTTTTTAGAAGGATGTAAGGTTAAGAATTTGCATGACGTAATGCTTTCCTTGAATACTAGCTTTTAGCCTGAATTTCCCTCCAGGTATATTGAAGACTATTGAGGGGGCTATCTTTATAGTTTTGGGTGTAGCATATGCTTCAGCTTGAAACATTGTAGGACCCCTCTGTATGCATAAGCAGAAGCATAATTTGCTGCAAAGGGCAACTCTTCTTTTGACTATATCCATTTGACCTATCGTTAGACACTTACCTCTTAGTTTTAGGCTTGTTGACAAGCTGTGTTGCCTGTAGATACTAGAATACTGTTGTTTTTTTTTAAAAAGGATATTTCTAGACTGCTGAAAGAGCTTACAATGTTATCTCTTAGTCTTGAATTCTCCATTATTTTAGTCTCATGGTAAATATGCATACTGGCCGCAAATGGGGCTGTTTGCCGGGAAAATACTCTGAATGAGATGGCAGAACATTGTTCAGCTTTACGGTAGTTATCGTCAGTGAAGTGAAGGTCTGGCTGATGTAGTCTGTTCCTTGAACATTTGAGTCTTTGATGATGATGATGATAAATGCATGTAGAAATCAGCTATAGGATGTTTTTGATGCAAGATATGCATATTGATTTTGACAAAATTCTTATTTTTAGAAAAATAAATTAAAACAAAAGTTATTGTTTCACACTGTCAAAATACCTGGAGAAGAAGCACAGAAAGCACAGAACAGGTGCAAATAGTAGACCATTAGCAATAGTCCTTCAAAATGTTCCCTCCACCTCACCTTTCTAATAAGAAAACAGTCTTCCCAAAACAAAGGTAGAATATAAGTCCTTTATTGGAGTAAAAATGACATTTTAATATGATTTTTTTTCATTTTGTCATATGTGAGACCAGTACTCTTTAATGAGCCATGACAAATGTAGGCAGTTTTTCAATCAGTTTAAATAAAAGTTGTTGTTTGATAACTATAAAGGTGCACAGATTTGACAGCGTTGCTCTCCAAACCTTTCCTTTGGTTGAATAGTAGGAAGCAAAACCATTCAGCTTTCTTTGCAACTAATTTTACAGACTGAGGAAGCTTGTTAGTGTGCTGTAACAGCTTTTTCAAAGATGGTCCACGTGCTGTTCTGTTTAATTTGCACGTGCACTTGTGTGTGTGTTTGTATGCATGTTTGTTTCTTAAAAGAAAAAATCAAAACATCCAGCTTTTGACTGATCCCTCTGTTTCAATATTTAGAAAGGTTGTGATAGATGCATGGTTGTGTATGGAAAGATGTAGGGGAAATGACCACCTAGCAAATCACCAAGAGCTGATAGGTGGTTGGGGACAGATTTAACAGGTAAGCCTGGTTCATTCAAAATCTGCTGAGTATAAACTTACATATATAATAAGTTTCTTCAAAACCATAGTTGCCAAGAAACTAACAGAAAGTAAGAGGGAATAGATGGAGTAGTGTCTGCCCGAGTCTGCAGTCAGCACACAGGGATGTATTTCAAAGTTGGAAACTCCTTCAGTCCCATTAATCTTATTAAAGCCTAATGATGACATGTGAAATACTAACAGTACCAATTTATTGTGTGTTTATTTTAGCTGGGATAGGAAGATACATCTTAGCAGATGGGACCAGTGTTCCCAGATGGTAGAGAAAACTAGGAAGGATACAAAGATGTGAAAAAGAAAGAAAAAAAGAATAAGGTGCACAGAGTAGAAAGACAAGGTAAAAGGTTTAACCATTTTGAATGAGGCTGATTTAAAACACCAAGGCAATGGACAAATAAAAATAACAGTGTCTGAGTTTTTAAATCCTCCTAGGGGATTTAGATGCTCAATTTCCATTAGAACATTTTAATCCCTGAGGTGGAATTAAAAATCTTAGTCTGAAAGGTTGGTTATTATATAAAGATTTAACCCACATTTTATTGTTGCAGGAGCCGCACATTGTCATCGGTTGGAATTACGGTGTCGAATGCGGTAGCACGTACTCCAGACAGGCTACAAATGGTGTCTGGCCCTATCTAGAGAACGAGATGCTCGACTTTTTAAATATTTGTGCTTGGTTTACTCTCCTTTCCCTCCCTTTCCCTAAGGCTTTTACTGTCAGCATCTGCCTGACCCAAATAACGTAGGGTAGAGGAGGCTTCATTCAGTTAAGCAGGGTGAGATCACCTCGTCCACGTGTCTCAACCTGCCTGTGGACGTGTAGAGTGCCATAAGCTCTGTTTGCAGAGCCGGCCGCAGAGCCCGCCTACTGCAGCTAATGTCGAGGTGCAGTGATCCCAGCTTAGTGCAGCATTAATATAAATAAGTTTGTTAATGGCAGTCCAGCAGCTACATGTCAGAAGGCTCACAACTTTGTGCAACAGGAAAAGAGATACTTATGTTCCCACAGTGGGGGAGCTCCACCAAGAACAGGACTCTCTTATTTGGTAGTGAGCTTTAATCCTTCCATTGTGTGTCGTTTTAAGCTGTGTTGTGATGTAATTGGCTTAATCATTACTATTATGTTGCTTTGCACAAGTTAAGATTGTAATTTGACATATGGAAATAAACGGCAACTGGATTAGTGATTTGCAGGTGTCATTTAAGAACAGGGGGCAGGGAAGAAAGCCTTTCTTTCATATTTTGCAAGCGGCGTGTTTGCTAATGTACAGAGGCAGAATTAACTACGCAACTGCATCTCACGCTGTCTTGAAGTAGGAGCGAGCTTCACCTGTTTGTTTGTGGGACTGTGCTGCTGGGGTTGAGGAAAGAGAATCTCATTCCCGATGGATGTGTTCACTGCAGGAGTGATTTTACATTTCCTTTGCAGAAGACAAATACAGGAGAAAAGCTTTCTCTTTGATCGAGAAATCAGCACAATGGAGACACAGCTCTATTAAAGAAGTGCAGCAAGGGTGGCATTTCTGATGTGGCTGTGTCTGTGCAGTGGAGCTTTCAGCATTGTTTGTGGAACTAGCCATATTTTTGTTTTGTGATACAGCATAAAGTGATGACCTCGTCTCCATAATTTAGTAACTCTGGGAGTTGTTGAGAGAGTCTATTCCTAAGTCTTTTTTAAGTATGCGCTGCTGGGATGCAATTTTTTAATGCTCTTTCTCTGCACAAGATACATAGTTTTAAGGATCAAATGTGCTTAGGACTAAAATACCTTTTTTCTTCCCAAACATGCTACTTTTACTTGATTTTATTAAGTTTGGGGGGT